CCCCGCCCCCCGGACCCCTAGATTGTGGGCACCTTCCCCTCAAGATCAGGTCGAATCATAAACCTGGGCTGATGGATAAAATTCAAGCTGGTTAGAGTCCTGAATGTAACGACAGAAACAATCCACCAGAGGCCAGAGGACATTCTTCCACCAAGCAACGTCACTCTGGAACACTCTCTCCACTGGCGCTCGTACTGCCACCACTATTGCCTCCTTTAAAAGGAAGCTATGGGACTCTCTAGGTGACCCCTATAAGCCTTAGGTGTATGACCCTGACCTCTCCACGTTAATGTATTGTTACAGTATTGTTGTATCGTACGTGTAAATGTTTGTCTTGTCAGCAGGGCAAGCCCTTGATAATAGCCGCCTGGCTAGTTGGGCTGGCCTGGCTGTACAATTTGTCTTTTTACAGCCGAACGAATAAATGAAAAAAATAAATAAATAAAAACAATCCACATACCTCCACGTGCCAGTTGGGCTGACCGTTCATGTAGTCGAAGAGTTTCTGGTAGTTGCCGTACTGCTGGTCCCACTCGATGGCCTTGTCGTACCTGAAGTCATCCCCCAGTGGTATCAACACGATGTTACTGCGGTACAGTTTGGACTTCTTCCTGTACTGATCCAGCAGTAACTTAGCCCTGCAAAAAAGAGGAAAGCACACAGAAGTTATTATAACTACAAAGGTATTTGCAATAATGTTTACCTTCTCAATATGGTCTGCTCAGTTAATATTCTTACTCAAACGCAATTGCTATTATAATATATGGTGACAGTAGTCTAAATCCCTCCTGCTATAAAATTGCAACATGATGTAACCCAACACAAACATGATGACTTTGTAACCCAACACCAGACTTTCATACAAACCAAGCAAGGCTTACACAGCATTTTGAAGACAAGTGATCATATGTGTTTGATACCTGAAGCACCAATACCTAAGGCCTAGGAAAATAAATGTTGTGTTTCCTGTTTCCCGACCGACCCTAAAAAAACCCGCCGACCCTAGCCTTATTTTTGTGTGGACCCCTGCATATTGCTGAACCAAAACATTTTGCACGACGCTACCGAGAGAATCGCTGTCATTGGTGGAACATCGGGCGCCCCGCTAGCGTTTTGAAGTCGTGTAAACAACGCTAATAATTTGTCTGATTTGTTTGTAAAACAAAGCCATCGACTCCGAAAATAAGTTTAAAAGCCGATACATTTACGAACTAATCGTAGAAAATTCCCTACCGTACTGCACCATCAGCATGCGGCGGCCGCAAAAATTCGGCAACGCGAAAGAAAAATGTCTGGTCCATGATAGCAGTATTTCTCATAAAAATAATGTATATGATTTATTTTTCCCCCTTTGTCGGTCTTTTAGTCCCAAAACGTCTAAAAAAGCGGAAATTTGCCCATAAAACCGGACGAGGAAAGGTAGCTATCGACGTAAACAAATTATAAGCACATGGCGAAAATCTAGCCTCTACCAGGCTTGAGGAGGCGGCTGGAAAAAGTAGAAATCGGCCAAAATAGAGAGATAAGCATGCCAGGGGAGTTTGGCCGTTGAGAGAACAGTTCGCCGCCCCACAATATACGGTCGCGATTTCGTGCCTGTATGTGTATTTCCCGCGGCTTCAGATAGACCGCACAATAACGAAGCAAGAGCAGAAAAGTAACCTAGCCAAATGAGACAAATTTTACCGTATGAATTTCCGTCGTAAAAATAGATTGATTCAATTCCATTTGTTATTAAAAAAACAAAGCATGAAAATGGTCGCATCACTAGTATCTTAACGGGAAAGTGACTATTTTTTTTGCGTTTTGATGTTACCACCGGTTTGACCTTTGTACCGGGCGGCCGACTCATGTCTTTGTTCGCGTGCCCAGGGGCGCCCTACGGCGCGCTGCTGGATTTATTGCTTAAATGATCTTCTGCGCTGAGATACTTCCTTTGTTGGATTAATGGGGGGATTACTTTTATGCCGTTGATCGTGGCGACTACCGACAGGCTTGTGGGGCGGCGAACTGTTCTCTCAACGGCCAAACTCCCCTGGCATGCTTATCTCTCTATTTTGGCCGATTTCTACTTTTTCCAGCCGCCTCCTCAAGCCTGGTAGAGGCTAGCGAAAATCAGCAAAATCGGCAACGGGACAGAAAAATGCCTGGTCCATTTATCGATATTTACCATGAAAATGTCGTCTGTGGTGTATTTTTCCTCTGATGTGAGTTTTTAGGTCGCAAAACCTCTAAAAAAGCAGAAATTTGCCCACGAAAACGGACTGGCAAGGCATGGGGGAGGGCGCATGACCCCCAAAGGTTGAAGGTCATAGGGCACGTCCATTGCGCAATAACCTTAAATCGCCGATTTAGCTAATTTTTTGGGGTTTCAAATTGATACAATCACACTATCGATTTTTAGGCAAACAAAGGGATAGAAACCAATTAAAATTTTGTGCAGATTAATTTTTTTTTCTTTAGAATTCTTTTTTGTTTCTTTTTTTTCTCCCAAATCCCTGGGAGAACCCTGAATACCTGTAGACTTGAATCAGGACCTGAATCTGAATTTAGCCCTGCAAGGGCTAGGGACATCTGTTAAGTTCTTCGAGCTGATCGACCGTTTAAAGCTCCATGATCTGACACCTGAGTACCTGAGTGATGAAATATAATATTGCACAATCGATTTTTCATCATGTTCTGCTTATATAAACACAGCAATCAGCAAAGTCTAAAAAAAAAATAAAAAATAGAAATAAAATAAGATAATCCCTACCTACCGACCCTAATTTTTTCTGGACTGAAACAGGAAACACAACATTTTTTTTCCTTGGCCTAAGGCTCTAAACAAAGCAAGGGACCTATCCAAGGGACGTCCCTAACCAAAAGCTATGTACTCATTTTCACCTGAGTGAAGTCGTGTTAAGTGCTGCTCACCTTTCTGCTACATTGTTGTCATTGATAGGTACAGGTGGGACCTTCCAGGGACAGTTGACTCGACCGCCCGGCAGTCGTTTGAAGTCAAACTGACAGCAGACTTTAGGGTCTGGACCACAGGTGTGGGGCACGTCGTAACTGTAGAAGGGCATCATGTGGCACAGCATGTCTGAACTCGCTCCATGGTCTGGGGGGAAAGGAAAGTGTTACTAATAGGCATAATTTGTTTAGCACAGCATAGTTTTCCCCAGTCATTTTATTGCTATACAGGAAAGTTGAGGAAAGCAACGTAAGACAAAGATAAAACAAGGTAGGAATTAAACAAGACTCGTGATGCCTACATGTATTAAAAAAATGTTGTGTTCCCTGTTTCCCGACCAACTCATGAAAAAACTGACGACATTTTTCAAAATATTTCAGTGAGCGATTCCTCCTGATTTTAACGGGTAGAGGTTATCATTTAATGATGCAATAATCATAATATAAGCTGATTTTCAAGAATTTAGATTCAGTTTCTTCATAAACTACCATGAAAAACATTCAGCTTATCCAGCCCAGATACATGTGTTTGTACATGTAGATGTAAAATCCAAAGATAAGAATATGCATAATAGTATGACAATGTAGATACATGACACTGCACTTACACTGTACAAAATATCCACCCACTGCATGGATAAAGTACTTAAAAGATCTATTTGCATGCATGAAATACTGTTTCAAAGTTTGCTTACTCTAACCTTGATCAACCTTCAACAGATTCTGAAGTAACCTTCAACTCTTGAGCAGCAAAACGATTTATCAACTGAAGCTATTTTCTCTCAGAATACCATCCTGGCATGTAATACCCCTCTTTATGATTCTTCATATTTCAGAAATCAGGGTGACCTTCCTCTGTCCCTTATTCAATAACCTTGTCTGGAGACACAGTATCTATCACGATTACACACACTTGTCTCCATTGTCCTTGAGTTATCATTCTAAAGTTCATTCTAAAGTTAGCTTTTAGCTTTTATACCCAATACACCCTGTATGGTATTTTGGGGCCATGCCCATCTGTTTCTAGACCAACTGGGCCACACAACTGTGTACCATATTCAATTATCTTACCCTTTCCAGGGCTCAAAGTCAAAAATTCATTTTTGGGAATAGGACATAGGGAAAAAAAGGAAATTCAACACAATTTTCAGAGTTTGTAAACATATCCAGTACTCAAAAATTCATTTTTGGGAACAGGACATGGGGAAAAACAAGGAAAATTAACACAATTTTCAGAGTTTGTAAACTATGTTTTTGACACTCTCTTCCTTTGATGATGCATGGATGATGCAAGTATTGATTTTTTTTATTTTCAGAAAGGTCCCAGCATAAATTTAAAAATAAAAAAGCACTATGCATGCTTTTTCAGGCATGTATCTATCTTCCTTCCAATAAACTTGACACATCTGACAGTTATGACGGATGACTTAACTGAGAGATAAGATATAATGTACCTGTAGACTCTCTCCTATTTTATTACAACACCATATACCCTTTCCTTCTTACAGTAGATTTTGAAATACAATGTATTTGTGGTGGTTTTGTTTTAGTGGTGAACTTCTGTGGTAAAATAGGAATTGGTTGCAGCCCTTGTCTCACAAAAAATTTGACATCAGTGATATTCTACAATTTCTTTTTTAAAGAAGAAAAAGATAATCTTGTACATGTACTTACTATAATAATAATTGTATTCTATGCCAATTTTCATTGAACTTCATCTTAATAATCTTGTTCTCCCCCAAACCAATACATCTTTAATATCCACAATTATGTGTTTGAACTGACCTATTTAAGAAAACAATCAATATATTTGGACTTTCAAAAAATTTGTCTTCACACACACAATATTTGTATACCAATCAATAGTTTGTGCTTACACGTATAAACCTGCTTTTCTGACAACTCTTCATTGTCACTTATGAAAGGTAGTGGATGCTACCTGAAAAGTCTGACCATTTCTAAAATTATATTCAATTGCTTGAGTAACTGTTTTTTGGCATATTGTATTACCTTCTTACCATTTAACCTTAAACGACAAATCATTAACTTTAACTTATCCTTGTTACAACAGTTGTACAAACCCCAGTTTTGTCTCCACATGAACTCCAGCTGTTTCTCCTTGGCCAGTTGTTTCTTGACAGAGTAGTGGACCCTCTGTACCACCATGTTCTGTAGTCCCATCCTCTTCAGTAGGTACGCCATGGTGGGGGAGTGTCCGAACGGGTCGATCGCCCAACCACTCCGCGGCTTTATTCCTAATGTGGCGAAAAATTTTGTCAATTTTATGTGCTGGAAATAAATTTTAGTTATTACCTCAGACTGTGTATGGATGGTTACTTTTAGGTTTGTGTTGTACATGTGTTTGCTTGTATTTCCAATGCTAGGCAGCTGGCACACACTGACAGAAAATTAGGTGACAGGTCCCGATCCCAGAAAAGGTTATCTCATTTTCTGACTTCAGTTTCCTGCAATACGCATCATGTCTGTTGCCTTATGAGAGACAGTGGGGAAATGCATTGGATAGAATCAGCAAGAAATACACAATTTTGAAAATATTTCAGAGCTTTGAAATCTGGCGAGTTTCAATATGTGTTTCATAATACAGAGTTTGTTTCATATCTAAAGCATATACAATTTTTAACTCTTTTTAAGGCTATATTTGGCCGTATTGCAGGACATTAAATGTGTGGCCACTTGTCTAATTATGTTAGACAGAATGCCCACTACAGACAGAATTCTTAATGCTTAGGTCAATAGGAAAGTCCTTGGCATCGAAGTTAGCCCAGCTGTCATCAGTTTGCTACAGGATTTCTCGCTGGCTCGAAAAAAAATTTTTCGGGGTAGTGAATACAAGAAGCACCGTAGAAAGTCCGATGGCACCCAGGTTAACAAAAAGTCGCCATTGCAACGGCCTAGCTAGGGGACAGTACATTACAGTACTGACATTTCTAATATTTTTCAAGGACAAATTTCTTACTGTGTTCTACCACGCTGACAGGATATACAGATTCTCAAGGACATTTTCAAAGTACTAAATCGGAGGATATTCTAGGAACTAGGTCTGAGTATTGCATAATCAAAGGCCTGGACATCCCAAAGGTATATATGGTGGCCTTTGCCCCAATATGTATCCATCTTCCTTAAACTATCAGTGGAGGATCCTTTGAAGTTATTCGGTGCTACCAAGATGCCAATACCAGCAGATATTACAGCCTTCAGAGTGCTCTCAGGGGAGGGCTGTCAAACTGAGACCAATATCAACCTCCAAGCCTATTTTGTACTCTATTAACTGGAATTGGACCCCAGCCAAGATAAAGTCTGAATTTCAAGTGCTCACTTTGATTGTGGAAGTACTGATGCATTTCAAGGCTTAAGGAACGTATTTTATGGGCTTGGACTAGTGCATTATCGGGTCGTACCATGGGAAAAGGAGGGGGTGAAGTATTGACAGGACAGGGATTAGGAACTGTGAAAGATAGACTGGGGGGAAATGAAGATTGATGTAGTCTGTGGGATTGAACACAGTATTACATGTATTATAGTGAGAGGACATAGAGTAAGAAGGGAAGAAGACATTGGTATAAAGGGCTTAGAAAGAAAGAAGGAAGGTGGAAAGGAAAGAAGCCAAGAAGGAAGAGGGAAGAATGAATGGAAGGATGGAAAGGAGGGAACAGTAGATGGAAGGAAGGAAAGGAGAATGGATGGATGGATGGATGGATGGATGGATGGAAGAATGGAAGGAAGGAGGGAGGGAGGGAAGAATTAAATGAAGGAATAAGGAAGGAAGAATGGATGGAAGAATGGAAGGAAGGAGGGAAAAAAGGGAGAAAGGAAGAAAGAATTGATGCATGGATGGATGGATGGATGGATGGAAGAATGGAAAGGAGGGAGGGAGGGAAGAATGAAGGGAAGGAAGAAAAAGTGGAAGGAAATAAGGAAGAATGGATGGAAGAATAGCAGGAAGGAAGGAAGGAAGAATGGGAGAAAGGAAGTAAGAAATTTAAGGAAAACAAATGCTAAACTGTGAAGCATGAGGTAAAAAAATTGGGACATCTGAGGCTGAACAGGGGAAAACTAGACTACAGTAACCGTTATTGATTATGACAGACCACATCCACCTGCCACATACCCAGATTTCTCTTGATCCACTCGTGACCCTCAATAAGCTGGTCAATCATGGCGTAGTAATGCGTGATGGCTTCATCTGTCATCACCCAGCCCCCTGTCACTATCTCCAACTGCCCGTTCTCTACCAACCTGAAATAATGGAAGCATTTAGAAAACACAATTATACAAATGTCACATACAGATACATTGTATGAAACAAAAGAATGTGACATATTTTCAGCAATAGATATTAAAAGTATTACTATTGTGTATCTAATACACATACACATTATATACTGACATAAAACAGCATAATAGAATAGAATAGACTTCCATTATAGAATAGCAAAGAATAGAAAAGGTTGAACAGACATAAAAAGGAAAACGCAAGTTATTCTCTCCTTGGTGCTGAAATGACTATTGTTAACAAAGCTATACTAACAATATACTGCATACTCTAACACTTCCATTTTAAGCTGACAGGAAGTTAGGTCAAAGGTCCCAGTAAGGCTTATCTCATTTCCTTTCCAATGCCTTCTCTAAGCCAGTGGGAAAATGCTTTGTAGAATAATTTACTACTAATTTACTAAGAATCAACAAGGAATTTGTACAACTGTAATTAAAAGAAATTCAGAAATCTCTAAATATTTTATGGAGGTGTAAGATCTTTGACTTCTTGTTTCTACAAGAGGTTGGTAGTTCGAATCCCGGCTCACCTGACATGCTTGTTATTGGAAAAGTGTTGCAGTCCTTAGGGCAGTTAAGCCATGGTCCACTGTTCATTGTGCTTGTCTAAAAGAGCTAGGGGAATTTCCCCTGTACAATGGGCTTGTAAATACTATACATGGCATCTGTCTTCTCTGTAACGACCAGTGGGAGACTAGCTCTTCAGTGAGCTAAAAATGGATCAAGATCACTTTCCTTTTCTTTACAGATAACTTACTTCTTGACTGCTTCTTTCTTCTCAGCGTCGATGTTGTCCCACCACATGGAGAAGAAGGAGATCTCGGCCCAGATAAACTTCCTCCGAGAGTCCACCTTCAACTTGTCCACCATGTTGTTCAGGATGTGCTGGGTCTGGTCCAGGTAGTACCTGTCCACGGTCTTGATCCAACCTGCAAAAGAAAACACCTTTCAGTGTTAGAAATCACCACCTGCAGTCTGCATTTTGCATGCAGAGACATTTTCAATATTGCCGAAGAAAATTAAGCAACCTGCAATATGGCAGACTGAAAAAATCAGGCTAGGGGTTCAAAAAGGTGTTGGCATAATATTAACAGCGTTTGGATTTAGTACGGACTCTATAATATGCTTAGCCTAGTAATTTTGCATGACACGTTTCAAATTGCATGTAAAATGTTTGTGAAAATGCAATTTTGTATATGACATGGGTTCAGTCCCAGTCGCAATTTGTGTTTATAACTTTAAGTTGGTAGATCATAGTAATAGTACATAAAGAGCTAAACTGTTAATCCATCTAAACCAGAAGTATTAAGTGCATTCAATTTGACTCTATTCAAATCTTGGACCGTCCTACTGCAGTTTTGTAACTGGGATCCAATGCACAAGATGAAAGAGCTTAACCATAGTAATGGATTAATGTCATGTTATGGATCATCTTGGATAATCCAAGAGGATTATCCCTATGAAAAGGTGTTAACTTGTCTGTCAAAGTGATGACTGTTCATACATGTGGTTACTGGGCAGCGTTCATTGAGTTCAGACAACAGACAACCTCTAAAGCCACAGTAAGCCTTTAAGTGCTGGGCTTATGGCCTGATGTACATTTGACAATGTCAATGTCTCTCAACGATTCATCTGCTTTCAGACTAATACAATGTCACTGATAGCCTTATCATTTATGATACTGATCGCTTTTAGTACCCAAACTGTTAACAATCCTACATAATATACATTTACTATTAGTACTTTTATGATTATAATCATAGAAAACCATTCCCATAACTACCGATGCAAGAACAGGGTTCTTTACCAATATGAAAATCAGCAAATAGTAGATCAGGATTTTCTGTCACTATGGTAACAAGTCACAACAGTGATGCTTCTAGAATTCTGTGAAGTGTGACGCCACACTTCAGAGAGGCCAGTGTCACTGGGTCAGTCTACTGAAGAAGACTAGAGTGACTGGTTGAAAGCTCTAGGTGAGAACATTTCTGTTTTGTGTTGGAACAAAAGTTTTACCTTTAAAAATGTTATGTGACTTTAGGCATGATGTAGATAGGCTATAGTTGACATACCTGGGTCGTTGTGTGAATGTGGTACCACGAAGACTTTAAGTGGCTGTTCGTCCCAGTCCCTGTCTGTATAGTGGATATCAAAGCCCTGTTTCCAAACTCCTCCATCAGGGTTGTCAAAAGGTAACAGGTCAAGCACATCCAACATCTAAACATGGTGGAAAGAACAGAAAAAAGCCTTCAGTTAGATTTTCAGAAATGGTACATTATAACATACTAAAAGTTTGCTACAAATCAATAGCAACCTGGCCAATTTCTTTCGCTAGTAATTTCATCAAAAAATGCTTTCTGCCACACACTAGAAATCGATCTGGTTGTCTAGGTAGAGATTGGACGATATGCAGTCTCAAATAGTGCCAGTTGCGGCCACACTAGACAAGTGGTCATTTTAGGCAAGTTCTTTAATGCTTAGGTCTATGGGGAAAAGTCATGACCAAGAAAAAGTGGTTGTCTTGGCCAGATTTCCGGCTAATAGAGGTGGTTGCTAATGGGCAAGTTGGACTGTATGATTTCTAGTTAACCCACCTGTACATCGTCCCTATGCTCCCCCTGCCTCTCCACAAATGAACAGTCCCCAGCTTCAATCTTGGCCTGTACGGGGCTCTCAGGCACCTCCTCCACCAGGGCTGGGATGTTCCTCTGGACTGGGATGTACTTTGACATGTTCTCCCCACCGATGATCTGTTTGACCGAGTTTCTGATCTCGTCAATGATCTGTTGGTTGTGGTGGATGTCGTTTTCCAGATTCTCCATTTTATCCTTGATGAAGTCTAGCTCAGTCTGCAACAAACAAAAATAAAATGTTTCAATTTCAAAACCAATCACACAAATTAGTTTGTGTCTGAGCTAGGTGACCAATTTTAGCTCTACCACTTTTTCTGAAAAGATACAGGAGGTTTAGTTTTTGGTGTGTCTGTATTTTTGTTTGTGTTTATGTAGTGCTTGTCACACTGGGGGAACAGACAGGAAGTTAGGTCAAAGGTCCCAGAAAAGGTTATCTCATGATTAACTTGTCAACTTCCTGTAATTCAATTCATGCCAAAATTCATGTACAATTCCTAAAATTCTTGCAAACTGCACACAAAACTGTACCATTAGGCTACTCCCTGAGATGTTGCCAAAAACTCTACATACTCCATGGAGGTATGAGAGATATTCCGAGGGTTTCATACTTAAGCTGAGAAGCAACCACTTCTTTTACAACTGCCCAAGGAGCGTACATGTGTTCAGCACTGATCCCTTCTTTAGACCATGTCTTACGACTGATCCCCATGACTGATAGGCCTGATTAATGCCCAGTAATGAATGGTAATTGGAAAGTAATCCACAGATCGTCAGGCTGTGTAAATCCTCCATGCATCAGTACACTAAAACGTGAAATGCTGTTGGCTGGAAATCGTTAAAACAGAATTCCGAGTACCGTGAAAAGTGGCACAAAGATACATCATTTGCACAATGTGATGCAAAAATGATGGGTTGTACTGTAGGTTCTTGGGAAAATATAATGGGTTCTAAGTATTTCTAAGTTTTCCACTCATTCTATAGAAATTGTTTTAATAAAATCCTTGCTAGTCAAGGTTTCTATGAATTGTGTTTGTGAGAGATTCTAATACATAAAAAGATTTGTTAGGGAAAACATAACTACAGCCTATTGGTTCAGTACCAAGGACAGGTATAGACTTATATATAATTATTTGTGTACTTTGTGAGACAAAAACTACAATTCACCTTACTTGAAGCACAATGGAAACAGACCTTAAATTATACAATAACAACCAATTACTTCAGTACCAAGGACAGGTATTTCATATACTTTTACTGTGTATTAACTCTTGTACAAGGCAAAATAAAAAAAGGACAGGCACAGTATTAGACTATTATGTTACTGTATATTAACTCTTGTCAGGGAAAAACAACAAATGTACCTTGCTTTAATGCATGTAAGAACATGTACTTTACTACACAAGCAAGAAATAATCTGGCCTAACAACAACAGTCAGTTATTTCAGCACCAAGGACAGGCACAGTATTAGACTATTACGTTACTGTATATGAACTCTTGTCAGGGAAAAACAACAAATGTACCTTGCTTTAGCACCGGTAATATTTTGTACCCACCTCTGGGATATACCAGCAAATCCCAGCATAAATGACCTCGTTTATCACGATAATTGAAACAATTAATCTTTGGCAGTTAACGATGTAGGGCGGGGAAGCTGAGCTGACTGCTTAGGCGATAAGAAGACGCAATTTTTCAGCCAGTTATCAAACCAGGTGCAGGCTTTAAGTGTCTTCTGGTTTCTCAGAATCCTATGTCATTGTCTAATTTCATTACGTTTCAAGGACCAACCTATTAATTATAATCTATTTGGATTGTACCATCCTTTTATGCCACACAAATACAAATCTATATACTGTAATTTAGAAGTGTGGTGGTAATAGATCTTTATTCACTCAAGATAGAAAAGGGTTTCAAAATAAAACACGGAAAATATTTGGTGCGGTGATGAATTTATCTAAAAAATGATCTCCTGTATTTACTTCAAGAGAAACATAAATATCATTTATTGTAAATAAAAACTGAAACCTTGCTGTGAAAGGACAAACTAAAATCTAAGCAACACAGATCATTCCAACAATTCTTTTTACAAGTACCTTTCCTAACCCAATGCACTGCATATTAAAATCAATAATAATCTGATTTATCATAGAAAAATCCTTTTATCAGACATTAAACCAGCCTGAGGGGAAGTCAATGTCAAGACAAGACTCCGTCCACCCCTTTGTTTGACATGACTTCCCCTCGGAGTTCCATGATAAGTGATCCAATTAAAGTTCCCATGTTAACCCCTGGCCTATGGTGGAGACAGGCACATTTAGCAGTCCGAGTCTGCTGTGGAAATGGCTCCTGTACTAACAGAACGGTGCCCTCAGGGCTACATGTGTGCGTCCTGCTCATGATTGGTGAATCTATTTTTCCGGTGAACGACTGCATCTACCCATAGTGGGTTGTTGAAGAAAAAATGGTTAACATGTGCGCGTAATTGTATCTATTGAAATGCTTTTGGTGGTTTATTTTTGCAGGCAAATTCATGATTTCACGATTGCAAATAGTTTCAACCACATGAACTAAAAGTAAAACACCCTGAAAATTCTTTTTCTTCTTTGACCACGAAAATAACGATGGAAATAACAGTGCTTAAAGGGTTACACTTTGGAATTACGTATTGTTGATTAACCTTCCACAGACTTTATACTTACTAGGATCACAAACTTCTAACAGAATGGTGCCCTCAGGGTTACATGTGCGTCCTGCTCATGATTGGTGAATCTATATTTCCGGTGAACGACCGCGTCTACCCACAGAAGGCTATCAAAGAAACAAATGGTCTACAGTGTGTTGCTGTAAATCTGGAAATGTTGAAAACAATGGTTTCCAGTGACCCCTCTACTACGAATTCATGACACCACAATTGTTCAAAAATCATCCCAAAAACTGTCTTTCCTCTTCCATCCCAAAATTAAAGAAATAAATTCCAGTACATAAATATTTTAGCATTATCTAGTCATTAATTAAAGGGAAACAAGAAGTTAAAAAAAAACTGACATTATATCACACTAGGTATGTTTGAAAATTTAGTTCGCTAGTCCATCTTGTTTAGAGCGCTACCAGCTGTTTTAAGTTGCGCCTAGCCTAGCGTTGACAAACTGGCTGCCACGATTTTCCCTCTCCCCGCCTTCGCGATGACCTGCGCAGTAATTGGCAAATCTATACTTCCAGTGAAGGATCCAGTCACAACATATTGTCAAGGAAAGAAATATGGTCAACTTCTATTACAGTAAGGCTGGAAATGTTTGCAGCGGCTTTATTTTCGCAGTGACCTCCCCACCACAAATATATATTTTTTCCGATAAGTTACTACTGCACTATAGCTGCTATAGAATTTACCCACAATGCATCACACTCAGCATGCACAGTCCAAACTATGAACCAGCTTATTTCTATTTGCCATAAAAACATGACAAACTTTCCCAAACTAACTTTTCTAAACAGCAAGAGATAATCTGTATTCAGAGACTGTTCCCAATTTTTTCCTTCTTTCTCCCAGAGTCATCAACACAATTTCCTTCTTTACGTCACAAAGATTGGATCTTGTGAGAATTTATTTCCGAGTTGCTGAGGTTGCGTTACCCCTGGCAGCTTTATTGGGAGGCCCTTATCATCTCAAGTTCAAGTAGTCCATGTTGATGGAGGTTTGCCGATAACGCGCCCCGTGCCAGTTGTAAACAACACCACTGCAAATAGTGTCACCTTATCTGGAGAGAAGAGATTCAATCCAGATTTTAACCTTCAGTCTGCTAAGGTAACCACTTGGCATGGAATTTGTATTGGTGTTATAGGGTTAGGCGCAGGGAAAGGGTTAAATTTACTGGTTTACTGTTGGCATAGTTGAGTATATGGATGTATGATTTTCTTGTTCCAGTCAAAACAAAATAGAATTTTTATTTTATGCAATGTACTAGATTTAAAAGCTGTTCTTTATGTTATTTCTCACAGTGACTCGTCTATCTACAAGAAAGAGGTATTCTGGATTCAGAGTCCACAAATAAAAAAGGGATTTGAGATACATTCTATTTATACATGTATAAGCATTTAATAAAGGAAGAGGGACCCAGGTAGTGTATACAATGGTATCAAATGTTTTTTCCAGTACTAAAATGTTATGTGAAGGATTGCACTTACAATTGACCATCATAATTATTTATTATATTATTATTATATCTTTTGAAGTACACAAATATGTAACAAACTGACTCATTTAACTCAGAACTGATAAGAAATCATGTTCTACAGAAAACTAGTCACTCATGCCTGATAACATGTTGAATAAGGATCTATTGTGCACTCACCCCCCACCCCCATTTTTTTTCCTTTTAGTATGTTCTTTAAAGCCTTAGAAACTTGTCCACAACTGTACTCTGCACCATTCTTCATAATGATTGCCATTCATAACAGTTTTTGTTCTTCTGTGACCCATGTAGGAATGATAGATAGTACACTTCAGCAACCTAACAATCCTTGAAAGAAGGGCATCTACAGTTAACTAGCAAGAATACAAATTTTGGCTGTGCACTATGCCTGGCTGTAAAGAAATTTGTATGCTGTTCCTTTCATTTTAGCCCTAAGAAAAAAGTAATATGGATCATGGCAGACTTCAAAGCAAGGTTTAAAAATTTTATGTTAACTTTTCGTGAAAAGCTTAGACCAAAGTATATAAAATGGCAGTGAAAGACACAGCAAAGATATAAAATCAAAATTTTAATTGTCTGACTTAAAATTAGACAAAAAATTGAAGCAAAATTAAATTCATCTAATTCATGTAAATTAAAGCATATAAAATTTGGTACATTGCTACAACCTTATAATTAGATTTTAAAATGTTAAACATACAAATAAAGTCAAGTTTTGTTTCTCGCTCTGGTTTCAAGTAACCTACTAGCTATACATAGTAGTGCTTAGCTATAGCCGTGTTACCTTCATATTAGACAAGACAGTTACGACCTTCAAATCTGACCTTTAATAAAAACCCTTTTACAGAAGAATTTAGGCTTAACATAGAAAGAAACTCTTTGCTCCATGATCTAGTTTCAGGTCACCTTGGGTACCTCTAATCTCAATTCAGGACAAGACATATTCCATGATGAACCATAGTTGAATCCTGCACTGCAAAAACTTCTCCTAGTAGTAGCCCAAAAGCAAGATAGAAGATAATACAAAC